CACTTAATCCAAAGCAAAACACACAGATTTCGTACAATAATATGCAATCGCTTTATATTTTATATACATACACATGTGTATATACTTGTATGTGGTTGTGCTGGCCGTTGCACTTACACGCGCTTCTACTTATGACGTAATGCATATCCAAGCGCATTTTTATGCAGCCTTCAACTTGAACTTAGGCTAATGGCTGCCTTCGCATAACAGTGACCCACGGCAAAGGCACAAAATGAATACTGTGCTAATTTGACTCAGTTGCGTTAAATAATGCTTGCTTTACTAATTGGCTTTAGGTTGTTTTTTAAACATTGCACACAATAGCAGAATTCAATACTATTTTTATCGTTCATGAAAAAATCAATAAGTGCCTCACGCACACTAGTAAATATGTGACATACATAATATATTCATACATATTTTAAAGCGATGCTTTTATATTATCGCAAAAAAGGTTAACAGTTTTGTCCATCTAACGGCTGTTTGTAACACATTAAAATAAAATAAAATATAAATTAAAATGATCAGTTTGTCGCGTCATGTCGATTTGAAGGTATGGTGGTCCTATTATCAGAGCAAATGATGATTTAAGAAACATTGGGTTATCTCTACGAAATTTCGTATTGGATCTCTAATGGGGTAACTATTGCAAATGGTTTGATTAGGTACTTTAGAACGCGCACAAAACTTCTATTTCTCCAAGAATAGTCAAAGTGTTAGTACTACAGGTATAAAGTGAGGATTGAGATACAAATGGGTTGTTATGGAACATTTGTTGTGAACGAGCCTTGAATTTTTTCTGTCTGGTTGGTTGTGAAATCTATCAAACATATTTAATAACCTTACAGTCATTGAACAAACAACATCATATTTTTTCAATGTGTTGAAAATGTCAAATTTTTCAAGTATTTGCTTTTGATTTGAAGTATCATCTTCATCCAATATTGCTTGCAGTTTGGCGTCTTAAAACTTTTTTTGTGGTCTTCCACGCTCTCCATTTCTCACATTAAAATTTTATCTCTGAACCATTGAAACCATATTTTGCATCTTGGTTCTGATAGAGCATGATCACCATATGCCTCGACTAGTATTCGATGTAACTCTGCAGCACTTTTCTTCAAATGGAAACAAAAAATTAATGCTTTCCGCAAATCATCACTTTTCGGCAAAAAATAGGGATGTAATCAGCACATATTTTAAATATCATGTAGTATATAGTATTTTCTTTAACTTCGGTCGAAATGTAGGGCCAAAATAAAAGAAGTTGAAGTTTTCCGATTATCATGTAACATACTATACATACATATATCTGACTTTTCTTCGTGTATATCTTCAATTTGAGAGATTTTGTGTCAAAAGCTTACCCATATATCTAATACGCCGACTTTCGCATTTACCGTAATTTTATAGCATATATGACTACAGGTATTCAAGATATTTTGAAAACTAAGTGAGTAGATTATGATTAGCATAATGTATGAAAGAATTAAATTAATGCAGTCCCTAACTCCTCGATTATCAAAAATGTAACGATTCCCAGAAACTTAGTTAGCTTTATTCATATCATATTGACCAGACTGTGCGATATTTTAAATTTTTTTAACATGCTAATATGAATAATATTGTATGCTTATATCTATTAGGCACATTGACTTTATGGTAGATATTTCGAATATTACTTAAACAAGAGATACAAATATACGAGCGGTCACGTGACCTTTTTTAAATCAGTTCAAAATTTTGCCCTGCATGTTAAATTCAATCATTTATTTTTTACAAATTGGCAGAGTATCTAACTTTCGGCTGCACCGGCACTTAGAGCCCTCCCTTTTTTTGTATATAAAATTTGAGAAGATCTGTATATAATCCTGAACTGTATATCCCTTTTCAGCTTTCTTTGAATTAAGTTAAGTAAGAGGGTGGATATTGTATGTGAATGTCGGGAAGTTAGAGAGAATACTTCTATTAAAGGTGGTGCATATACAAATCAGTTGAATTAAATCTCAAGTTAAGGTAGACCGACTTTAAAGACTTATAAATGTGGCTGCGAAAAAAAAATTTAATTTGTAAGATAGTCTGCTATCAGTTTAGTGTGAAACGGACTTTATTCATTGATCAGATTTGCCTAGCTTTTAAGGCGTATTGATTTTTTAATACAACAAGTTTAAGTAAACTTAGTATTCACCTAACTAACACACATTGTTTACTGAGCTCATTGCATTCACTGCGGAGATAACCATTAGCATTAATAAAATTCCCCCTAAATTACATACATATATAAATAACAAGTACCCATACAATTTTGCATATACTTAACGAGATTATATACGAATTAAACCAATTAGTTTGGTGGTTATATTGATTGCTATAAACTAATTAAAATGTATTAATTTTCAATTTATATATAAATGTAATAGAGCTAGGAGGTTGGAGAATGGTACCCATGTAGCGTATGTATATTTAAGTAATATAGCTAATTAACAAAATTCACGGAAATATTAAGGGTTAAACTATTTTTAAGGGCACTTGTAAGGGAAGACAATTTAGTTATGTAATTACATGTGCAATAAAAATTAATAAGATGTAATTAAATATCTTCTTGCTACGCTTGAATACACGTTAAGTGCTTTTTCAATATTTTTATGGTATGTGTAAACACATTTTTATTATTGAATATGCAAATTCTATCTTATAATAAAAGTTTGCGCTTAACCTATGAATCAATTAAGTGACATAATTTTCACACATAGATATGTGTATACTCCTACATACATAGGTATATATAACCAGACGGAATTTTATTTCATATTTTGTCATTAAGAGATAATATAGTTAAAATATACATAGGAGTTTTATATTCATTATTAGGTGTCCCGACCAAACCGGGACGAATGGTCAGTTAAGTCTAGACCGATATCACTAAATTTGAATACCTATCACTTTATGTAAAATCTAACATTCTCGTTTGAGGATCTCGATATATCGACCTCAATAACCAATACGTAGGGTATCAAGTAAACAAATATTATATTGAATAAATGGGCCCAAGGGAATGGACTAACTGATATCAGCCACTTTTTGCGCCAAATCACTAACAGTTTAGGGTTCCATGAGCTTTCAAACTCTTACTGAGCAGAAATTTGAAACCAATCGAAAAAGACAGAACAGCAACAGCGCTGCCTATAGTTTGCTTTTATGCCAAAATCTCCATTATTGAAATCCATGCTGCAAAACTGAAACTTTTCCAGAAATCACTGAGTAAATTAAACACCTTCAAACACAAAAGCGCTAACAAGAGCTTTCTAGTTTGAGTGCGCAGAGCACTCACCTACGCTACAAGAATGGTTTTCCAATTGATTTGATAAAACTCAAGATTTGCATACACTTTTTCAATTAAAACACTCTTTGCCATAAAACTTGGCATCAAACACTTTATTTCAATAAATATTTTATGCAATTTTTTTCATGATTTGTATATGACAATTGAAATGGCGGCGGATACTGAACACAGCATAGCGTTGCCAAGGCGTTGATATGTCTACAGTTTCCAATAGATGGAACTATATCCAGCATCAGCCTAAAACGACCGTTTTCTCAATATCTGGTTAGCAACCATGTGTCAGTTAAGTTCTGGATAATGCAACCAAGACTCCTTATTTTGTAAAAAACACCGCTATTTTGTCATTTGTTAATTTTTTTTTACCGCATTAGTGAACTAACTTTTTTTAACACCTTCGAAGATCGCGTGTAACTCGAAAAATATTGAATGTTTTTTGTTTTTTACTGTGTATTCTTAAAATTTATAAATTTACTCTTAAAATATTAAAACAATTGAAACAGTAGTCTTTTTTTAATTTCCTAAATATTAGCCTTTTATACAATGCCACACTAGGTATGCAACTTAAGGTTTTAATAGCATAATTTTTGGTGCAATACATATTACCGTTCTATTTTCCAGTTAGGCCCTCGGTTTCCATAGCACACAGTGATACTAAAAACATATAAAGTACTCTTTACATTCTCTAGGTTTTACTTTGATATTGAAATAGAAATAAGAACCACTCTTTTTGAAATTTTATTAAGCGATTTTTAATTTGATTATCTTTATATCAACTGTATCACGTTCCTACAGATCATAATCCATCGATTGTCTTTCATTAAATTCCATTTGGAAAAAAAAATTTGTTTTTGAGGAGTTGATTTATAATTTAGTTATTCTAAAAGATAATTCTTAGACACTGAAAAGCTCGTCAGATATTTTATATAAAATAACATAATATAATAGTTTAAAAAAACTAAAAAAACACGCTTTTCGATAGTTTCTGCGATAGAGGATTTCACCTAAAGGTTGGTGGTGCCATATTTTACAATTTTTACATCTTCCTATGAAGCTCTTCCCTACCATTTTGTTTGTGAAATTTAATGCTTGTAGCGCATTTATTTCGTCAGTTATCGCACTTTTAGTATATTTTAACATAACTGTTATATGGGGAGTGGGCGTGGTTAGTATTTGATTTTGCTCATAGCGATTTTCACAGCGTATGTAATGACTTCCTCTCAGCAAATTTGGTTGAGATAGCTTTAGCGGTTTGGATGATATATACATTAAACAATTTAGGGGCGCGGTTACGTCCGCCTTTAAAATAATGGAAAACTGTTATCAAATTATTGCATTGTCATCGGTCCTTGACACGTCTTCAAAGTTTCAAGTTAATCAAACTTCGGGAAACCGGTGAAAATTGAGTTCTAAGATTCCATTACATACATACAAGTACAACCCAAGCTAATAAAAGCGTATCAAAAAAGTATTCAAACTCATAAAATAGTAATAGAAGTAAAACCAAAACAAAACTGTCAAATATGAAAGTACAGAAAAATTATTCACAGTTTTGAAATTTGTTGTGTTTGTCAACAGTGATTTGAAATTTCTAAATATCTATAACTTTAAATCCTAAAATCGTATATTCTTATTTATTTTATGTGAATTTGAATCGTTTTAGACACGAAATATTTGACGCAGTTCGCAACTAAAGTGAAGTACAACAATAACTACAAAACATATACGGGAGTTTAAGCTAAAACACGGGATAAAGCAATCGCTGAATTAAAGCGCCTGCACGGTCGTCCACGAACAACCCACAACCACACACACGAACCTACCGAGAATGCAAACAACAAATCAAAACACTTGTGATACCGCCGAAACTAGCATAGCAACAACAAAAACAGATAGCGAAATTGATACAACAGCAACAACAACAATCAGCACCACCAACACACAAAACGAAGCTTTTGCAAACTATAATGTTGTTTTAGACAATCTTTGTGTACAACACAACAATCTTAACGAATTAGTAGTAAACACTACAACAACACATATAAAGGAAGAACTATTAGTCACACCGATGGACCAGCGACCGCAATTGGATGAGGACAATGAGAACTGTGTGATTGATATAGCCACAATGCAAATCGCTGACGATAGCAATAATACTGTCACGATGCCAGCCTTAAGTGGCGGCAGCAACAACAAATGCAGCTATACAAATGAGCATAGTGAGCCTAAAGGTGAACGGATAGAGGGTGATGCGAAAGGTGAAATCGATATAGCAGCAAATGCGGAAATCGAAAGTGATGGCGATGGTGAAGAAGAGGGCGAAGATGATAATGAGGCGGAAGTGGTAAACGAATATATGAATGAAATTGAGATCAGCAAAGTCGATGAAGAGCAAATCATCACCGAGCTGGTGGATGCCAGTGGACAACAGAGCTGCACGGAAGCGTGAGTACAATAATATTTGTTGTATATAATTTTTATTTTTTTATACTTTCATGTGTATTTCTTAATGCCTAATAGCAGTAAGCAAAGCAACGGTATGCGTGTCGCTTTCGGTATAATTTTAAGACTAATGTTGCCACTTGCTAACAGTGTAATGCGCAGGTTTATGGGTATAAGCGATGTGCGGTTTCAACGTATACTAAAACCAATAACTTCCAGTCGTCAAGTGCTCACCAATCTAATGGCATTTGCTGCCAATTCCATATCGCTGAACTTGTCGTCGGTGCACGGTGCGTATACGTAACTTTGCAATAAATGTGATTAATTTACGTTTATGTAGTTGTAATTAACTTTTAATCAAAAAATATATCCTTAATTTAATATATTTCATATTTATTTAATTGAAATTTTACAATCGGATAGCAGATTTTAGCTATACTAAATCCAAACGATTCTTAAAAAATTGTAAGTGATTGTATGTATGCATGTGACATCGGCATTAATTCTTTAACCAATAAAGACTCCGCTAATTTTTTCTATATACATGTGTAGCTGAAGTAAAATACTACAATCATTATAAAAATGTATAAAATAGAAACGAGATCACTTCTGACTCGCATCATCACATACATACATATTTAGGCTATTTTCAAAATAATTTAAGTATTGGGTTCTCCATAATATCATATAATCATGTATAGAATTATGATTTTGTTATAAACTGAAAACTTTTTTTACATTGAATTTGTGTTTTTTGTTGAAACACCAGAGGCATAGCAATATACAATAATGGGCAAAATTATGCGGACAGGTAGAAAAATTTACATTTTAATAATTTTCCCAAAAAGTGTTTATTGATTGATGAAAATTTGTATAATTTCATGCAAGCTAATAATCAGTTAATCAAAAGAATTATTTTTTATTCATACAATCATTTTTTTCTGTCAAATAAAACTTATATTTTAAATTGCGACAATTTAGAAAAACGAAGGAACATGAACGAGTTTAGTTTTAAATATTTAAAAAAATGTTGTAATGCAAAATAAAGAAAACACAAAAATATATTATTAGATAAATATTGAAAAAATAATTTGATAAAATTTAAATATTTGGTTGGACTTCCGTTGCTTTCTAAGGCAGCCTTAATACGCTTTGGCATAAAATTCATTAAATTTTAGATTTTGTTAAGAACTATGCGATTATACCAAATAATTTGCAAATCGAAACAAGCTTTTCTATTGTTATGTATTTTTCTTCGGTATTTTAACTTCGAAAATATGTCTCGATTGGGCCTATTACCTGCCCAATCTAGCCGAGCTAGTTTAACTAAATATTTTATTAACTTGGATCACTTTTATATAATAGGTAAACAACAAATTTGACACTTTTTCGCTTTTATTGTTGTATCAATTAGTGACCGATCTACAATAATAAGAAAAGCATGCCAAGATCATTTGGTATCCTTCTTGCCTGACGGTCCGTCTAAAGCATTCATTTTTGAAGCGTTATCCGGCTTTATGTCGTACGTAGTAAATAACATTCGAACCAAAAATATTTATTTGATTTATTTAAAAATATAACAAATATCCAGTCGTTTGAGCTCGACCATTCATGTATTTGAGCCCATTATAGCCTCTTTTGACGCACCGCATGCATCAAAACTGGTTTCTTTGCTGGTCAACGACCTTAAGGGGTCGACGTTTTCCGATTTACTAATCTAGCTCCTCATATCTTCTGCAGTTTTAAACATTTTCGACATGTATTGGCGCTTCAGGATACAATGCTTTTGGTCATTAGGCTTCGTTTAGAGTCCTGGTTATTTTTTTTTTTTTTTTGTTAAATCTCCGATGATTTCTTCCATTTAATTACAAAAAAATTATTATTAAAGCTTTTATGCTGTCTGTGATCCACACATGGGGTATTTGATACATACTATCTGAATTTAAGGCTTAATATTATATTTTCGGTATTTTATGCTTTTCAAATACATACTTATATCGCTACTTGACTGACTATTTGTCTTAATCAATCTATAATTTCCCATCTACATACTTGCTGTACATATCTAATGTAACCAGAAACAGGTAGTCATCATCCGATAGAATAGTTTACGCCTACTTTGATGCAGTTTCCACTGTTTTGACTGTTCCTAGCACCTGGGTGTCTCTAAACGAATTTTTGTTGGTCGTATTGGAAGATTTCATGTTATTTTAGATCATTATTTGCTGTTGGAATGGTATTCATTATGAAATAGTTATTGATTTTTAAATATTTTATTTTGTAATATTATTTATCATATAATTTGTAGTACCTTGATATGTATCCATACCGGGAGTATCCATAATTCTCAAATATTATTTATTCCCACAGTTTCACAGCGCATAGAACCGATATTGAAGCTTCTCAAAATACGACAATCGCGCGATGGTGTCGAAAGTCTTCCCGATACACCTTCCATCGATATTGCTGCATGTTATACAACAGCTACACCATCGCCGACTCCAACAACACCCGGCACGCCGACTATGCCTATATTCTCCCCCTTTCTAAATGAACCTTCCATAGTTATGGCAAATTTTTCGACGGATAAGCGAAAAAACGCGGTGCCACACACTCCGGCACCAAAATGTTGCACGATAAAAATATTGGCAGAACCGCCACCTGGTCAGCCTATACGCGCCGACATTGTGTTCATACACGGACTGCACGGTTCATTAGTGAATACATGGAAACAGGGACTTTGGGAAAACGAGCGCCAACCTGAAAATTTCGAACGACCACCAAAGCCACCTGTGAGGCCACCGAAGCGGCCAAAACATTCTCGAACTGCCTTACTACATCCGCCACACAGGCAAAAACGTGCAAGATTTGCGCAAGGCGATCCGAGTCAACGCGTCACACTGGAGGCAATGGAGTCTGATCAAATCCACGATTTAGATGACGGCTTTTTCGATGCGACTGAGCGTGAATTGAAAGAGGGGTATGCATTAAGAACATATGTTTTTAAATTTGTTTCCATGAATATTTTTATTTGCAGTGTCTCATATGTTTGTGGCGCGCCAGAAGATATACAAAATTGTGATGGCATAGAGTACAGTTTTCCCACATTCCGACTGCGTTTGAACGATAATGGTCGGCTGCTGCAAGGTCAATTCGACAAGATGCACGATAGTCCTATGGATGGTTGTGCCGGTGAGCCACATATGAGTCAAACACCGCCTGTCACTGATAGTACCAAGGCGAAAGGAAAAGCCAAACCTTCGGCTAATGATCCAAATTATTCAAAATGTTGGCCCGGTGATTGGCTGCCCTTGGACTGCCCCGGTGTACGCGTTATCGCCGTCAACTATACCACCGATCAATATTTATGGCGTCCCTTGTGGAAAAAGAAGGAGCCACGTTCGAACCTCATAGAGCGTGCTCGTGAAATGACCGAGTTGCTGATAAAACATCGCATCGGTTGTGGTCAACCGATTGTGTGGGTGGGTCACTCCAAAGGTGGCCTGTTTATCAAGCAAATCATAGTCAATGCTTGGGAAAGTGGACGTCCGGCAGTGGCGCCGCTCTGGCGCTCTTCGCGCGGTGCCTTTTTTTATTCGGTCCCGCATCGTGGTTCACATTTGGCTTGCATTAAAGCGCCGCTGCTGGCACGCTCTGTCGAAATGTTGGACATTGAGAAGAGTGAGTTTAGGAAACATGTAAATATGATATGGATTATTATTGCTTCCATAATTACAGATAACAAATATTTATTGGATCTGCATCGACGCTTTGCGGGCCTCTATCATTTGGGCCATATTAAAATAGAGGTATTCAGCTTTGTGGAGACGGCGTTGACACTGATGTCGGTTCTTTATCTGCGCATTGTCGGAGTGGATTCAGCAGGTGAGTTAGGAATGTGTTGAATTAAATGAAGACTCAGTTCGAGTTTATCTACAAAACCGTAGAAATAAAATAGGCACCTTTTGACCACTATTATAAGTTAATTAAATAATAAGATTTTCTAAAGACTTCCAATCTCTTTTTTGGTGTCCACAAGGCCTGATCAAACATCAAATCTGTTTCCAACGCGACGAATTGTCGGGACAGATTATTCTTTGTACCAAAGGTTTATGTTAGATAGTCTAGATAACGGTTTCTCCGTTTCACCAACTATGCTCACTACATTTAGCGAAGAGATTTAAATTGAAATAAAGGCTTAAGGCAGAGGTCTTGTAAAATCATGGCGGAATAATAATTGCAATACATTGCTGAAACACCCAAAACGTAGATAGTGACTCCGCTGTATAGACCTTGGTTAGCTCTAAAAGGGAAGGTTTCTTATAGCACTAGACCTTTTGAAAGTGTATGATAATGTTCTATTATCTTCATTGTCACTGTGTCAGAGTCGCATTTTTCCAAATGTGATAAATACTTAGCCTCACCGACGAGTCTACTCTTTTAGACGGCTACTGTTGAAATTTTAGCCGAATTGGAGGCGTAATTTTTTGACCGCTTGTGGAATTTTAGAAAAACCTAGAAAAAAGCGAAAGCAATATCGCTTAGTGATTTTATTCATTTTCTCCTTGGGGAATCTTCTCCTTCGCATTTACTGAGTCCAGGTAACAATGGGACCACTTTACAGCAGTGTTTGACGCTATTATAGCGCAATCCCAAGAAGTAATGTTTTCGTGGCCATCAACGTAACATGGACTCACTAGTACACACCGGATATGAAGAAGCATTCAAAACTGTGGACTTCACCGTCGAATTTGCTCCGAAGAAGGCAAAGAGGGGCGCATTGGCTAGAAAGGGATGGTCATAATTTTCAGGGACTCACAAGATGAGATCCACATCGAATACCACAGAGGCCTACTTTGCATACCTCTAGAAAATACATATTTTGGCCGGTTTAAAGAAATGGGTGCATCGTTGTATCAAGGCAACGAGCTCCAAATTTTATTTTATTTTTATTTTTTGTAGCCGAAGTTCTTATCAGACCGCCTGTGTACGCAGTAGGGCAAGGATTAAATATAAGATTAGCTAAAACACCAAGTTCATTTAACAACACTTGCAATGTCTGAAATATATAATCCTCTTTTCTTCAAGACAAGAAAATATACCTCACATGATTTTGTGGTATGCTGCTGATTGTCCATGGCCGTATAAAAAATTATGCTCCGTTCCATCTACGTAGTGTAGTGAGAACGACTTCAAGACACTTCCAACCCTCAAATTTTAAACCTGAATTATATTTGCGAGCTTTAGCTCAGACCTTCATTCCAAATCAAGGTGTTAGCCTCCAATACACTATTAAGAGCAATATTATTATTAACAATTATTTTTCATTTATTTCGCAGATCCTGGATTTGGCGATGTATGCGGCATACGCTTGGATCATCGTGAGATTTGCAAGCCACGCAGCAGAGACTGCATTCTGTACAAAGAATTAGTTAAAATGATTAAAAAAGTGTATTAAAATTAAGAACACATTTTAAAATTAGAAACCGCGTAACTAAATGGAAACTGTTAGTACCTTATTGTTTTAAAGTATATTAGTGTGGATAATGCTTAAAAATTGTGGAAGTAAATACACATTTTGCCATAAAAGGTAAAAATAAAAAACTGTAAAAGCAAAAATTATAATAAATATAAAAATTATAAATTGTATTCGAGAGCTTATGTGTTAACCATACACATATTTATGTTCTACAAAAAAGCAAAGCGTTAAACTCTCCACACACACACACGTATGCGTATATATGTATGTAAGTGTATAAGTGTATTTACACCCAGCACATTAACTTACCGTTAAGCTCACACTTTGCTACTCAACGATTGCCATTTTTTAACTATAGATACTTATATAAACTACTATATACTATGATATATGTATATATTTATAAATATATATTTAATATACAAAAATATATGTATTTGCGTTTATTACAAATGTTTTGATAATTATATTTTTCTAAGCGTTAATTTTTGTTATGTAAAATACTATATACAATAAATATATCTTCCGTAAATAAGTTGAATGCATATATACTATATAATATACGTAATATTCTACATAAGCATGTGAAATAAGCTTTTAGTTTTGTCTAAATTTTTTGTTTTATAAAAATGCATGGCCATCAGGGATAAGAACCGTTATTTAGTGATTGGATTTTGTGATCAGCTCAATAAGATGTGATTTGTATCAAAGAAAAGAATAGCATAGAACAAAATATATATGTAGATAGGAATGATATTTTCGCCAGATATTGTATGTGTAATGACAAAATACATACATATGTATCTAAGCAATTTAGTTAAGTACTTACTGTAATTATTCTTTTTCCTTTTACACACTATTAAACGCAAGTATCTAAAAGCTTTGCTGATCATTATATATATCATTAGGTATATACATATATACAAATACAAATATGTTGGTACGTAAATAATATTAACTTTAAAAAAATTTGAATTTATTAATGTCAATACTGTAAGAAATACTTTGCCACTAATTCTTTAATAACGCTTATATAGGTTAACTGTACATGCGTTTTATAAAATCATATATTTAATAAAAAATTTATTTTACAAAAACGAAAAATAGTTTGTCTTTATGAAAGAAATTTCGATTGTAGTTTACCTCCAATTTGTGTTGATAACACTTTTGGGTCTTTCAAGTAAATCACAACGGGGTATGAGTACGGTCCGTCACAAAGGCGGTTCTATAACTATTTAGCCCACACCACCGATGGCGCTACCATCGTAGGATAATTTTATTACCATGTAGTAAATTCTCGTAGGCGATTACTGTCAAAATTTCAGCCGAATCGGACCCGTAGTTTTTGTAGATGGCGTGTGGAAGCGGGTATATTCGTTGGTTTTAGAAAAATGGAAAGGGGAATATCGGACGGTAGAGAAATCGTGCAGAGAAGTCATAGAGCGATGATGTCCACCGTTTTCTGAAATTCACAAGTTGTGATCTATTTCAACTAACTGGGCAACAAACAACAAATTATTGGGCTGATTCGACGCCGGATTGCAGAAAATTTGCTAAATTGGTAAATCCCAACGCCGTCGCTACAGCCACATTAGTCAAATTTTGGCTACGAACTGCTGTTCTATCCACTGCATTTTTATACTCTCGCAACTTGTTGCTACAGACTATAATAGTTTTGTTCACCTAACGGTTGTTTGTATCACCTAAAACTAATCGAGATAGATATAGGGTTATATATATATAAATGATCAGGATGAAGAGACGAGTTTGAATCCGGGTGACTGTCTGTCCGTCCTTCCGTCCGTCTGTGCAAGCTGTAACTTGAGTAAAACTTAAAATATCTTTATGAAACTTTGTACAAATGTTTCTTGGTACCGTAAAACAGTTGGTATTGTAGATCGACGTAATCCGACCACTGCCACGCCCACAAAACGCCATTAATCAAAAACAAATAAATTGCCATAACCAAGTTCCGCAATGAGATATAAGACTGTTATTTGGTACATAGGATCAATCGCGTTCAAAATTAGTCAGTGAGCGTGGAACCGCCCACTTTTAGGTGAAAATCCATATCTTGGGATCTGTTTACCCGATTTCAACCAAGTTTGGTACATAACATTCTTCTCATATTTATATGTGCGAAAATGAGCGAAATCGGATTACAACCACGCCTATTTCCCATATAACACCATTTTAAATTCCATCTGATTTTTTCACTATCCACTATGCAAATCAAACAACAATGATTATATCGGGGTAAAACTTTGCGTGAACAATGCGTTTGAAGTATGCCACCTTGTGACCAAAACTATTCAAGCCCCTAGGTACTGAATATGTGGACCCCGGTGCCTATGGTTGACCTTCTACCGAAAATATCGGTCAATCCACAAAAAAAACCCCAAACGAGTATACCATTTGACTTTGCGAGAGTATAAAATGTTCGGTTACATCCGAACTTAGCCCTTCCTTACTTGTTTAGATTTGGCTTCGATTGATTTTTATTTCCATACAACAAGCAGTCATTCTCCGGGTTGAAATTAGAGTAAGAGGAGTACCTAAAGAAACATATTTTCCAGAGGTCGTAAGAAATTTGAGCATCGATAAGTTTTATGACTGTAAGTCTTTATTTTTTTCTATGACGATGAAGTCAGTGATGCAGAATGGGAGCTGAGGTGCCTGTAGTGACAGCCAAATAGACAGTATATAAAAATTGTTCCAAATAGTTAAATGTTACAAATTGTGACGTCATAAATATGGTAAACTCACACTCCAATTGCGAAAGACTAGTGGATTATAGTTTTCATTATGCTTGCGTTGGATACTGAAACAGGATTGGTATTTGCTACTGTCTACAGACGCCAGTGTACTTGAAAACACAAATAACAACCCTGAGTTTACATTTTCGAATCATTTTGTAACATTTTAACAGAAAACGTAAAAAAAAACAGAAACTTTTTTAAAGAGAGGTTAACTCCACCAATAGAGTATCGGTATGCCATTTAAGGACTGTTGATGTGCGAGCAAGCAAATAACTGCACCAATATTGCGACACTGTTGCTTTTCTGCAGATCTCAGCTTGTACTTATATTGCAACATTTTCGCGTCGAATATGATGCCTTGCTATGTTGCCGCAGTGATTAAGCTTTGAACGTCCCCACCGTCTGCTTTTACGAGGGTATCAGTTATGATATATGAATCATTTCAAACATTTAACCTCAAAATCTGAATCTCCAAACTTTTTATTACTCCAAAATAGAAATATGTATTAGTAAAACAAATCGTTATTTGTTGCAAATAAGTTACATCTGTATTTTCAAGTAAGCCATTTTTTCGTACACTCTTCTTTTGAACAATGTTTAGTTGCTTCCCACACATCTACTACCACATGCTCATATAATATTAGTGCGAGCATTTGAAAGAAATAGATGCGCAACCGTTATCCTTCCCAAGTAAATTTTATACACTAATATACTGTTTACATGTACATATGTATATGTGTTTTATTTTGTATGTCACACCTTCACATTTTTTTTATATTTAACACAAGTTTATCAACTACATACCCACGTATTTTCATGTTTTTGTTTTTATTATTTTATTTTGTCTCAATTTACTGACATACAAGTATAAAAAATGTTTCTTATCATAACGTTAAGTATACTATATATTAGTACAATATTTAATTAATAATTGTTTACTCTCAAAATTATGTACAGAAAGCGAACAATTAAATACATATTATTAATCATAATAAAGAAGGAAAACATAATAGAACTTTTCATGAAAAATCACTTAAACAAGTTTGCATACAATTCTTAACAAATCTTAAAATAAAAAACAGTTTTTTTGTAATATGGTTTTTGGAGCCTTAAGTTACTGGTGTCTTAATATATAATATATGTAGTATAGTTCCCCAGAATTTTTTTGTTTGATTTTATTGGAAACAAATTAAAGTTTCATATTAGAAATTCAAGCTTTGTTACAAAATGAATTTCGAGAGAAAATATTTGTAATTTTACAATACAAGCCTACATTGCTTAGTTATTATGAAACCAGGCGAGAAATTCTGAAATTTACTTGGTACAAAATTTCACCCTTTAATAGAGAATATAGCAAATACTGGGTTAAGCGCCTAAAAGTATACCAGCAAAGAAACACTTTCAGTTCTGCTCATTTTTGTTAAAAAGCTCGTTACACGGGCAGAGTGATAAATGTAACATGGGGATGACGCCATACTATGTGTTTGATTAACCGTAGCTAGCATAGGATAAATTCCATTTTCAACATGTAGTGGATACAAGTTAGAAAGGAATACTATGTAAAATTATTATCATATATTTATATGTTTTCACACTACAAATTTCAAGCAGCATTGAATCGTACACACTTCGGGATGATTGGATAACATCGAAAAATTGACAAATCTCAGGGCTAGAGTGTTCGTTGACACTGGTTAATATGAAATCTATTGAAGATTGTATATATAAACGAATATGCTCTTGTTTTATATGTGATCTATAGAATCCGAAACTACAGAACCAACCGAAGACTCTTTCTATGAGTTATTAACTTGCTTGATTGCGCTGTAAATCAGCTATTACCAGAAATCGTTTGTTAGATTTAAATTGTACATGATTACACAACATGATTATATCATGGCTTAATTCATTAAATCAGGTTAAACTTTTTAGGTCTGACGTGACAAAAATATATACAGTTTACTATTTTACAAACAAAAACAAACCTGATCGTTCAGATCTGGAGAAGTCATCGATTGGAGGAGTTGCCATCGGGCGTGGTCCACTTTTGTTATAGAGTGTACCAAATTGGCAAAAGTGATTAAATATATTGATGACCTAAAAATTAAGTTGATTTGGTAGCTTGAATTAAACAATTTTAACGAAAAAACGGTTGATATCGATAATTCAGAAATTCAAAACTTCAAACAATGCGCAGTTGAGTTGAAAACCGGAATAGGGGTTTCCTTGTTCTCAATCTAGGAATTGTAAATAAAGCACTGGTGCACTAGAGAATTAGTTTTAAACTAGGGTATTCTCTCTGTGGGATTATGCTGTTTGTATTTTTTATACGATTTTCTACAAATTAATCGCTTTTAAGCAAAGAAAACAAATTTTTTTTCCGTTGAAACTTGCCTAAGAAAATTTCAGAATTTCTGCAAAACTCAAGTATTTTGTATATGATCTGTTTCATGATTTTTTAACTTACATGAATATCTGCATTAAATTGAAACACTTATCACATCCATTTGCACAACGTTGACGTTAACAAACAGTGTTTCCCATCTAATGCTTTTGCCGTTGCAATATTTTTTGTTATAATTTAGTTCTACTTCTACGCCTTTCTCTTAATATTTATTTTCAATAAATAAATAAAATAAAAAATGTATACACATTTTTAGCTTTTACTATGTGTATGAGTGTGTGAATGTTTTGAATGTATTTTGTTTTAACACTTTTTTTCTTTTGTATGTAGTATTCTAATATTTGTTTGTGTGTATGTAAATATGCTTTTGGTATCAAATATTTTTGTAACTTTTGCTTTTAATAACTAAAATTGTGTACGTTTTATTTTAAAATTCTTAGATATAGATACATATACATGTATGTATGTATGTATGCACATATGTGTTTTTTATGTCTGTCTTTAGGAATCTCAAGTACGTTTTCGGAATAGTCGAAAGTTGCTGCTAGTCGTTTTTCGGCAGTCTGGACTTTGTTTTTCAAGTTTTTATTAAAATTGTTTTTTTGTTTGTTTATATTCACTTTTTTTTTAATAAATTAACTTTTTTTTGTAAAATGCTAACGGTTTGTACATATGTATTTATTATGCTTTCATTTTTTGTTTAAAAATCTGCTTTTATTCAAATATAATACCAGTGTAGTTGCACACTTGTATATATTTATTATGTATGGTGTGAGCTTTATGTATTTCCAAAAATTTTTTATACATTAGTATTTATATACTCACTATTAAATGCTTATTTATGTTTAACTGTTTATAATTAGTTAAATAAAGTTTTATTATATGTAACTGTGTTGTTTTGCTTGTTTTTGTAAATATAAATAATAATTTGTATATAGGTATGTATGTAAAGTGGAAAAATAAATATAAAACACAACAATTTTTTATATGAAATTATGTAAATGAACACAAGTGATTGGTTTCTGTATTATTTCTTGGAGAGTAACTATTTTGTTGTTGTTTTTTTATTTTTTATTTATGCTTCTTTGGCTCTCCTGCAGTGTAATTTATTTATACATTAATTGATACATCATGCGAGAAAATTAATATTTTTATCGCATGCGAGAAAATCGATATGCACATATGTATTACTAGAGCGGAACGATTTCTTTCCATAAAATCACTTATGCGAAAGAAAAAAATATAATTTTTTTGGAACACATTTTTCAACAATTTTGTTGTTATGGTGTCTGATTATTTCTATTCTTGCATAAAATATCCTCCAATTAGATTTATGTATTTTCTTTAAGTGAAGGCCATTTGCTCAAGATCGACTGTCATGGGAACGATTAATCTTTTATATCATTAATAAATCTTTGTAGTTTTTTCTGTTTGCGTTTTCTACCAGCAAATGGAAAGCCTATAGTACCAATTATGATTCGAGATATTACACCCCCTGAACAGGGTATATTAAGTTTAACACGACATGTGTAACACACAAAAGCGTATATACTTATATACATTATCAGTGTGACAAGCTGAGTCGATTTAACCATTTTCGTCTGCCTGTCCGTCCGCCTGTCTGTATACGCGAGCTAGCTTTTGAGATATCAATCTGAAATTTTGAGCGCGTCCTCTTCTACTCAAGAAACTGATCATTTGTCGCAATCGCCGAAATTCTTCAGATTTAATCACTATAGCATTTATGTTGTATGACAGGTACTGGTTATTGTAATGAATATTTGCTATTGTGAGAATAATATAACTTTGGCGCAACTGAAGTTAACGTTTTTTCTTCTTTGTAAATAAATTAAGTCATCGAAAAATTTAAAATGGCTCTTCATTTGGTATGCTCGATTGGCGCGTAAGGAATTACTAAGATTCTATGAAATGAATGGGGGATTGAGAATAGAATTTATTGGTATCTTAAAAATCACCGATGATATAATGAAAAATCGTATTCCACACTGATAATACAGGTATCCTAATCGATCTTAAAGTGAATTTTATTTTGAACAAAAAAATAAATAAAAATTGCAAATATTCTTTTTTCTGATTTATTCTAAAATTATTCAAAATTAATCATTATCGCTGAAGAAAATCATCAGAAATCATCATAGAAATGCTTGGATCGCCAAAAAAGGACTAACATGTCATTATTTGTTTTTCCTATGTCGATACTAAGTTATTGTTTCGTTCATTCCAAAATCGCAAAAATAATTGTTTTTATTTTTTTATACACATTATTAACGGTCCCTGATACATACATATCGAATTTCAAATGTCACTGAAGTACAGTGCTTTATTGTATCATTGATCATAATAATTTTCTCGCATGCGAGTCATTTTATTAATCGCACATTTAAGTAAAATGATATTTGAAAGCATAAAAATGCTAATGCTTCAATTACGTGGCTTTGTATTTAGGTATGTATGTATGTTTTAATAATTTACGTTTGGGTTATTGCACTTTTGTTTACATGAACGTTTTTTATAAATTACTGTGTGGAACTTTCAGTTGTTACATGTCTTCATACATATATTCTAATACAAATTCTTGTGCATGAATTTTTATAGGTAACGGATTCATTTATATATAAGTATATACATATATATATATTTTTTTGTTTTAATAAATATCAGTGTTTTTCTTGTATTTTTTCGACTAACGCCAATCTGTTAAAAATTATATATATTTTTCTTAATTTCATCACTGTTCTCTTACCCTGATACTAGAACACATAACGTATGCAGACATTCTCTTAAAATTTCCCTCAGTTATTAAAATTTGGTGTTTCTATATTTATTTTTTTTTTGGAATTTTTTCGGTTTTGTAATTTTGTACAGCTTGTTGTTTCTAATGTTTTCAAAATATTGTATTTTCATGATTTTAAGTGTTGAAGGGAGTTTACATTTAATGATATCATATTGGTGCATTATACAACCATAAGTTTGAAACACAAAACAGAAAAGTGAGAGCAGATAACTGAATTGTCGTGTATACTTACAAGAGAAGAGGGAGAAAGCATTGTGTTGCTCGGAAGCAAGGTGAATTGGTAATATGCATTCTGTGGACTTTATTTCATACCTAGGGTAGAAAAACTCCAAACTTAATGTTATTTTTTCGATATATGGCTCATTTTATCCGTTAGAAACTGTTTAAGTTACCTTTAAAAAGTAAAGGTATTCAAATTTTTTCGAAGGGATAAGATTCTGAAACTATTTCATTTTTGGTTTTTTGGTTCAGAGTGTACTGGTATATGAGTGGCCCTATTTTAAATATGTAAGTATATCTGTGAATTCTGACAGAATTAATAGAAATATAAAAGAGTCAAAATGAATAAATACTAAAAAAAAATATAAACAAGAATTAAATTCATACATCGTAAAATAAATAGGGAAGATAAAATATTATTTAAAAACTACATTTATTTAATATTACAGTAAATATCTTCGTAAATAAGCTGTCACATAAGGAAGTGTAATTAAAATGGATTTTCGGTTAGTAATGACACAAAAAAAAGTCTAAGTAATTCACCAATTGCAATTAGAAAATCCTATCTGAAATATAACTTGATATGTCTACGGAAAATGTTTTGGTTGATAAAAGAGACCGGATTATTAATATTACTTCTTCGTGTTCTACAATATTTGGTACATAGAAAGATTTCGTAAATTCCCAAAAGATGTGAAAGAAAATCCAGTATTCAGCTCATTTCTACAGGACTTTGAAAAGTAGCGATAAAAGGATTTAACTAAATAATCCCCCGTAAAAAGAGGCGAATGATTTTTGTGTATTTCATTTCTATTTAGGAAATCTTCATAAAATTTAGCTCTAGATCCGACAACTTCGTATACGTGTCTTAATAATATTATCTTCTTATTAGCTACCGTTAAAAGATATCAAAATGATTTTTTTCACTTATTATTATGAAATAAGCGAGAAGTAAGTATTTTATGCACCATACCACCATACCATAATTCCTAAAGAAAGAAGAATCACTATATATAGATGGAACGGTCAGAGCACTCACAAATCCGCTAATGTATTGTAAGTTTTTCCATACCAGAACATTTGCCAATATGACTTCAAAAATGAGAATTTGCTGCAATCGTAATATTGCAAAGGAAGGACAATGAAGCAGAAAGTATATTATTATATCTCATTATTATCCATAGAGGCTTGGCAGAAGGGATCAGATAGTTTGTCAAGTTTGTGAATTTCGATTTGTTGAACTTTTTAGATATTCGTCGCTTGAGTGATAAGCTTCTAATAGGAGCTGAGAGTTGCCGAATACTTGTCTCGGGATATCGGTTAACGAACAGACTTAATGTCACTCAGTGTTATTAGACGTAGTTATGTAAGAATTTCAGTGATCTTAATAATATTTGATATTAAAAACAAATTTTCATGTTTTTTTCAAATAATGTAACAAAACAAACGTGAAATTAATATAACGGTAAAACAAAAAATCTTCTGCATCTTAATATTTCTCACATTCTCTGATCTTTAAAAGCCCTACAACTAAATATTCAACTTAGAAATTTGATAAACATAAAATACAAAAAAATTTATTAAATAAATAAAATTTGTTAAACAAAAACTATGCTAAGCTAGCCTCAGTGTTGATTTCAAAAACAAACAAACTGAAACACCATGAAGCAAAATTATGGAATTCTCATTCCGACGCAATTAAAAACATAATAAATTCTATTATGATTTTCTTCCACAGCAATGCGTAGCTTCATATGTTGTCTTACAGAGTTCAATTCGTTCTTCAGGACACTCAAATCTACTTCATAGTTTCTTATATTTGCATATAAGTTGTTGTTGTGTATATATAAAAAAAAGGTTTCTAAATATGGATTTGTGGGTAGGTCTGGTACTGTGTATAGGTGTGTTTAACTGTATCTATAAACGGCATAAATGCATGTTTTCTATATACCACAATATTTTCTCTTCGTTAATATTCGCAAAATGCATATTTTTGTTTATACATATGTATATGTATGTATGTATCATCAGCCACTAAACGCTTCGCAGCAGCTAGAATAGCCATTTTCGCACATTTATAAAATATGCTAAGATTTTTAAACGTGTTGTTTTCTTGGGATCAAAAAGCCTACTGCTATCTTCTTTTTCTGTTAATATTTGTATAAGTATGTTTGTGTATATAAATCTATAGGTTTTGGAATGTTTCTCTTTACTGCTTTTGTAGTTCTAAAGCGCACGAATGCGCGCCTACATTTTCAGCGGCGTCCACAGCGTGACGCCTAATCACTATTTATATCCTGAATGTGTTTCGTTTTCCATAATTTTTGCCTCCCTAAAATTACTCACTGTTTACTTACGCGAAACTTGAATTTACTTAGCTTTTGTAGTGTGTGTTTTTATGTATGCATATGCTTAATGCAAGTGCTCAACCGTTCGGGTCCACGTTGAGACGACGATGCGGGCCGCTGAACGCCACACTAAAAGCGTTACTGTTACTGCTCGCGGCCGACGTAGACGCTGACGTTGAGGCCGCTGTAAACGGCGGCGCGGTAGTGGACCATGGATTCGCTGACACGGCTGTAGCAGCAGTGGCTTTGCCCGTGGCAGCCATCGATCCAAAGGCAGGAACTATGGAATTGTTGCGCGACTTATTGTCCGCAGTGAGTTTCTTCAGCTTTACCGAAGCGCCGCGTTTCAGCTGATTGGCGGGACTAACTAGAATTGTAGAAGTACTTTTTTGGTTGGGTGCATGCATGGTGGCCTTAGTTGTGGTCAGTTTTGCAGGCTTCGGAAATATAATTTAATATAAATAGATATATATATATATATATACGTTTGTTAAAGAAAATGAAATAAAGACTCACCTGCCCACCGCCCGCCTTTGTTGTTGCTATTTTCGTCGCATCGCCTGGCGTCGCAGCATTCGCTGCTGATCTGGCCATTGTTGCTGCCTTGAAACCATTCGTTAATGCCAACGCTACGGCAGCTTCGCTGGTGGGCGTCAATGTTGCCGCAACCTCTTCGTCCGCGAGCAGACAGATCACATCATTCGATTTGGAATGTTTGGAGTAATTCGCATGGAACTGTTTTTTACTACTATTACTACTACTACGACTACCGTTAGGACCACTACTACCGCCACAACTGCTACTGCTGAAACTGCCACTGCGCTGTTGGCCGGCTACGCTGAGCGCCAACGTTGTTGGTGGCGTTGACATAAGTGGCAGCGTGTTGGGCGACACAATATAACCGCTTGCATCACCCAGGCCAGCGTCACCGCCATTATTGGCATAATTATTTGAGGAACTAAGTTTAGGCAGCGCCGTGGCCACAGTATTTGGCGGCGTCTGCTTGAAGGGTATGAAAAAGGGATGCGCACCATCTCGTGCTGCCTTCTCTGGCGTAGAGCTGCATAGCGGCAGCTGTGATACGTTCGCCCGTCCATCCAACTCATAATCGTGCTGTGTAGCATTAGGATTTGGCTCTACTTCGACAGTGAGTTGACGTCGCACGACATTACCGTTACCATTGCCATTGGGTAGTTGCGTGGTTTGGTATTCTTTTGGACGCGCCGCATGTATGTCAACATAGCGTCCACTTTTCGGTATCAACGTCTGCATTTCGTGACAATCCTGTTGGAAAGTGCTGCCACTTAAGCCACCAGCGCTTTCACTGGGTATACTAGGGTTATTCAGATTACCAAAATTCATCTCTGATGGCGAACTAAGATGTGTGGGTCCTTGCGTGCGCGCCTTATAGCGTCGCCGTTGAAATATGATAAGTAAGGCGAAAACAACTACACAAACCACAGAGAGCAGTGAGCCGATAATAATGCCACTATAAACCTCTGATTCGTTTGAAGGGCACTCAATTTCGAGCGAATGGTGACTTATGCTACGCAAGTCAATGAAAATCGGTGCCCCTACACCAGTTTCGCCGACAACGCGTACAGTTACATTGATTTTCGCCGTCTCGGAGATGTTGGGAAACTGAGCGGAAGTATAATTATTTATATATTTATCGACGTGCATTCACCTTCTTACCTTAAAGGAACATACGGTACATTCCAAAATATTGACCTCATGTGTCACATTACCCAAGGTCCACAGTATGTTGTAGTGATGGATTTTGCCGTTGGGTTGCAGAGGCGGATCCCAAAGCAACTTCAGGCCATTATGTCGTATGACGCGTTGATTGCTGATCGTTCCCGGTGCTATGAACGTTGAAAATATTTTAGGTTTATCTTTTGAAAAGTATATGTATTTATAGCTTACGATCGGGCAATGTTTGTCTATCTACTTGTCCATAGAAAGTTTGTGTTTTGCAGCTAAAGAAATTGACACGATAACGTTCTGATGGTTTGAGGCCTCGTATAACCACTTGTGAATTGGTTATCGGCAGTTGGTCGCATTTCGGCTCTTCTTTACGTATAATGGGGAACTGTATCTGCCAGTGACATGCGTGTACACACGACTCATTGAAATGTTCGTGAAAGTGAAAGGTAAGCATGCGTGACTCTACTATGCTGAGACGAAACGGTGTGTTGGCGAGCTCGTTGGTGTCGTTCTCGATCTATAAATATTTGATCAAAACAAAAAATAATGCCGTAAGGAGTTGATATGCTATACTCGTAAATATACATATTTCTATACTTTTTAGACTCGTGACATTACAAAATACTCATATTTATATAGTTTGATGAAACAAAATATTCTTACGAACTCATTAAACGGAGTTTTGAACGAAAGAGCTACTTCAATTTCAATTTGTAATATGTGGGGACTCGGTGCATGCATGATATATGCTTCTTGGTTTCTCTTATTTTGCGAACTAACTGGAACTCGTCACCTTCAGGGCGTCAAGGGTACATGGGTTTTGAGTGGGAACTAATATGTTAAGACAGGTGTTTTTAATACACAGAACATGAAAAAAAAACGACAGAAGTACGTATAAAGTGTACTTTTCCATTTAAGCGGTTGCACAGACATCATCTGCTAGATGATATTAGAGATAAGTAGAAATTTTATTAGCGGATTTGGTAAATTTCGTCTAGATATATATATATTATATATTATGCAGGTATAAAAGAAATTGAAAAACGGATAAATAAGACCGCTGGGACGAAAGATCAACCGAAAATCTTTTAGCTTCTTTATATGTTTAAAGTTTCAGCTCGGCTAAACTCTCATATATGTATATACGCGTAAGTAAAATTGAAACACATTAATGGGACAAATTTGAGTGCCAAATTAATTCCATCAATTAAAATTTTAAATAAATCGTCAATTCTTGAAACAAACTATTTTTGAAAGTTAAAACACACTCATAAAACTTACCGTTTTCCACTGTACATAGCGAAAGTCCTGCTTCAAATGTTCATTTTCACGTGTGATAATCAGTACACGTAATTTTATGCGATTAAAATGTTCCAGCAAAACACCCGTTACATTTGACAACACTACCAAACTAAAAACTTCTTCCTCCAACTCCACATGACTGTTGTTGTCAATATAGCCTGCCTGAGCGCTCCTCAAAACCGCACGCGTCTGTGCTTCATTGAGCGCATCAATATCACAGAGCTTCTGAGCGACATCCTCCTGCGTGAGGTCCACGTGCTGCACGGTGCCACGTAGATGTTGCCTAAGTAATTGCTGAGGATGCGGTTGTGTGTGATTGCCGGAGAATTGAAGTATAAAATACTTTTTGCCTTTCAACTCCGGCTGTGACCAAGTGACAAAGGTATCATTGCCCATGTGCACCAAATGTAAGAGTACTGCGTAGGGAATAAGAATAGAAATACGAATGACATAAATTAGTTAAAATTTGTTTACTATCTTCCTTCCCAAATAAACAATAACTCACAGCCTTGCGTGCAGCATGTCACCGGTGGGCTTCTTAATGAGCTGAGTATTGTCTGTTGTTGCGTCTTGTTGGCCAAGCGTATCTCTGAGGTTGGCACTAGAACGCGTGTGATCAGCTCGAATGGACGGTAAACGGGTAGGTGGCTTGAGATTACCAAATGTGAGGTATGATTTAGTTTCATCGGGGCGAATGGGGAAATCCAACGATGTGGATTATTCTGCACAATGTGCACAATGAAGAGCGACTGTACAAGAGATTAATGCTCACATTAATACAAAATGAGGAATAATTCTTGAAAGTTTACCTCAAAAAAGTTGCTTTCAAAAGTCACATTGATCGTATTAAAGCTGAGCGCATAGCAGCGTATATTCTGCAGTGGGTTCTGCAGCAGCAAGCCATCGTCTTTGTTGCGGAAACGCAATTCTCCCGCGCTGTATACCTCCCCGGCGATATTTCGTGCAAAGCATTGATATATGCCGGCCTCAATCGGATCGAAGGAGTGCAAATGCAATTCGTTGCCAACAATGTAGCGTGTGTAGGAACTTTTGAGAGGAACCCCATTGTGATACCAGCTTATAACCGGCCGGGGATTGCCGGTGGCGTTACAACGAAATTGCAACGAAGCGGTTATCAGTATCTCGTACGAGATGAGTGGCTCTACGATCACCGGCGGTGAGGTAACGATGACATGAAAAGTCTGTAAATGAAAGTAAAAAAGAATTAAGATAAAGAAAAAATTACATACATAGTTTTAATTTAAATATAGTTTATGTCTGTTAAAAATTCTCACTTGCACTTGGAGGTATATAAATTTCTAAAGGTGGTCGTATTCAGAGATGTCTAACGTTGTTTTCTCTTTGAAGCCTTCGTTGAAAATGTTCTATTAATTTCGGGATCTATTTAATAAAAGATAGTTGGCTCAATCTTTTCACCCGAAAGCTCTCTTCTACTCTTACATCAAAAAATTCTTGAATGAACTTTACTGTAAATTTATAAAATAAAGCGCCCGTAGAGCTTTCGTAAGATTTAAGCTCTACAGAGTCGAATATATAGCAAGAATTTTTACAATAAGAGAGGATCAGAATTTGACTGGAAAAGTCCTTTGAAGCGAAAATTAAAACAAACAAAAAAGTAAGGAAGTGCTAAGTTCGCGCGTAATCAAACATTTTATGCTCTTGCAACTTGCAAGGATCAAAGCCGGCTAAATACCTTCAGGTGTTAAAAAAACGTTATATTGCGAAAGAATTCAACATTTATTATTCGACGAAATCGTTAATAGATTATAATCAAATTTGTATCTTATTAACTTACATTTATTAGGTATCTCACATACAATCACCATTACACCTCTCCGTATATAAGGAGTAAAGTCAACTAGATGTTTGAACATTTTAATATTAGTTATATGTGGCCAAGGCCAGTTCGCACCTTTTCCATTCCAGATACGGGTTTTCACCTAAATTTGGGTATGACACGCCCATCATTCAATTTTGACAGCGGTGCTTATAAAAATTCTTCAAATATCATTCAGAGTGAAAGATTTAATGTCTCTGACGTATATATTTATAAATTTATCGCATTTTTAGTATTTTTTAACAAAACCGTTATATGGTGAATCGCCGGAGTTATCATCCGATTTCACCTATTTCATACTGTCGGTATCGATGCTAAAAAGATTTGACCTGGGTGAATTTAGATATTCTAGCTTTAGGGGTTTAGGAAATCTTTTTTAACTGCAAATGAACCCCCCCCAAATGCGATTCCTTATACCAAGTAATATCCTTATAACTTATTTGGAAGTTTAGTTTTAGCAATTTTTTCGTTCGAGTAATGGCGTTTTGTGGGAATGTCGATGGTCCGATAACGCCCATCTGCAATACCTTCTTATTTTGCAAAGAAACATCTGTAGTTAATTTTATCGAAGTATCTCATATTTTGCTCGGGTTATAGCTTGCACAGACGAACGGACGAACAGACAGTCACCCGGATTTCAACTCGTTTCTTCATCCTGATCATTGATATGTATATAACCCTATATCTAACTCGATTAGTTTTAGGTCATACAAACAATCGTTAGGTGAATAAAACTATTATACTCTGTAGCAACATGTTGCAAGCGTATACAAATTATATTATCATCATCTAAATATTGGAGAGTGACGATTCGAACAAACAACTGACATAAATCAAACACAATTTCATAGAGAAACCCTTTATCCTATAGTAAATCCATCAATCCCGGAATCTTAGTGCATCAAGAATAATTTCGTTTTCATTCTTACCTCATTACTTCTCCCACTTATGCAGCTGTAGTAACCTTGATTTGACTGGCTTGCATTCTCTATAATGATTTCATTACTGTGATTACTGATCTTCAGCGCTGCATTATTCAATGTGCTTCGATACCACCACTCAATCAGCGGCCCATCGATCTGATTATAACAATATAATAGACAGCTGCCACCCGTTGGTACATACTGTGTCGAGTTCTGCAGACTGGGTAAAAGTTCATTATGGCTCGTGGGTGTGGGATCATTGAACACATTGAAGGCCCATCTAAACAGCGTCTTGGAGGCAAATTGATTTTGTGCTAAACATCTAAAAGATACGAAAAATAGAAAAATTCAAATTTATAAAATTAAGGTATAATATAGCATTTGGGTATAAAGGTAGATCACATAAAAATCAAAACATTTTGAATTTTTCACTTTAGACGGTTAATGGCGTCACAAACCAAAACATATTTGAAATGTTCTTTTTCACGAATAAATATTATCATTATTATATCATTGAATATAAAATCAGGGGACTGAAGCGCCTTCCAAAAAACCTTCTTTAAATTTTTTTTCACCGATTTCCTTTAGTATTTCTCTTCACAATAGCGGTGTTGATTATGTCTTGAAGGAACATAGCGTACACATATTAAGTACATATTTGGCTTGAATAATATGTCAGTAATAGCTGACTTCTACGTTAAGCATTTATTTTTTATTGCCCCTAATGCATGGAAACAGTCCAAAAATGGGTTTGTGACGAAGATTAACATAAGAGATAATGCTACGCTCGTGCACGTACGCAAATCCATTTCGTAATTCATGAATGAGTTGTATTACATTGAACGAATGAATACCCTGTAGGGAAAGCTGATAGTGAATGAATGTAATAATCTAATTTTACAATTTTTAAAGAAGACAAAGATTTTTCAATTTTAAGTCAATGTTCAACAATTCGATATTAGTACTATCGCTAAACGAACGTGTTGCACCAGCAAGGTTTAAAGGCTTCGTACTAGTTCAACAATAGCAACAAAGTGGTAAAGCGAGAAGCAATATAATCCTCATATTACATCTATACTCAAATATGTATAATAGACATGATATATTATAGAACTTGTTCAGTACAATTTTTGACAATACCATAAACTCATCCTCCACCCTTCCCCGCAAACTTTATATGCAGAAAAAAGACAACCAGGTTAAGCTAGATGACGCAATGGTCCAGGTAATCTGAAATGATGTCAAAGAAAGACCATTGGTACCAGCAGACATGATAATCAGTAGGCCTCTGCTAGCTAGCGCAATCTCCTTCATATAAATGAGCATCCATTACTAGCCTTAACCTCATTGACTATAAACTCGTGTTTCAAAGAGGAACGACTAGCCAGTTAAATATAAGACTAGTATGAGTAGGACGGAAGGCACTTCTGTCTTACAGCTGGGAACAGGTTGAAGCTTTTGTGTCTTGCGCCTGGATGACTGAATCTTACATAAGCTGGACGAGCGCTGGACAACTTCTAGCACTTGCCCACTCGCAAGGATCTTCTTCATCACATTAAATCACAAGAGGTGAACTCGCCAATTCTTGGCTCTCAATAAGGTTCGCTTTTCTCTGCGTTCGAGCGGTAAGGTTCAATATCATTTGATCAAATTTGAATGGTACAAAGCTTTCAGCGAAGTGACATCGGATCTCAATATCTCCTATGGGGCGACTCAACACTTTTTTTTAATGGTTTGGGTATGAAGTGTGTCAATGCTAAAGTCCTACCAAAAGACCAGAATCTTTTGAAAAAACCACATCGGGTAGATTTCGAAAAGAGTTGCTTAATAACGTAGCAGAGAACAGTCCAACAATCTAGCGAATGGCGCTTCAAAACGAGACGAAACCGAAAACACTAAAATTCGCTGAAGGCACTTAACGCCATCCCAGTCGATAGGCGATAATAAAGATTAGTCTAAAAATATGTGAACAAAAATTTTTTTTGTCAGTCTGGTCTAACTTTATAAGATGCCAGTTGTAAAAATGGTTTGGTAAAAAACAAAGTAGAATCATTGCAACACTTGCTAAGTAAATGTTTTGTGTTTGCAAGATCAAGGCTGAAACATCTTGCTGTTTTCTGGCTTCATCAAAGACTTTTGCAGCTCAAGTACGATTCTCATTTCAGGGATCACCTTAAGAGCTTAACCTAACGTAACCCAGTTCGGTACTGTTTCACTTTCCCTATAGGGTATATGCATATGTATATGTATATAAACATTTGCGATTTCGCCTCGACCTTATGTGACAGTAGTAACGTCGCGCACCCTTAAAAACTGTGACCACAATAGCTTATAAGCCCTAATTATGCTATACTTACTCAGCGCACCCAACAAAAATAAACTTTACAAAAAGAACTTATTGAAAAAACATCACCCTAGCGCACCCTAGGCTTGCCCTCTACATACCAAACTTTGCCGTCCGGCAAAGGCACGCAGTTGACTCTCCACGACTGCTGTGCTTTGAATTAATCGGCCAGCAGCTGCCACTAGGGCGGCTAATGTATGGCTGAATGTTGATTGCGACAATTACGCTCATCGTTGGAGTGCGAAATTTGCAGCTTGTAAATATTTCGCTACTGTCTACTTTGCCGCACGCTTTTCAATTTCGCTCGCATTATTGCTTTTTTCTACTTAGCTGCTTCTATGCGTGATACCGTCGCATAACATAACACAAATTAGTAAGATATACATATAGACATATATCTACATATATCTATATATATATACCCCTGTTGTATCTAATTGTTTTAGGCAATTTCTAGCCTTTTCCTTGAGCTTGTCAATAAGTTTGTGTGTAAGACTAGTTGCATGCCACATAGCACATGGCAAACATAACGTGCTGCCCTCGTTTGTTCGCACTTGTTGGCGTTTTTATTTTCATGGTTATCTTCGCAGCCCCAACTTCTTGGTCGCGCACCTGTGACGTCAGCAGCGATTGCGGCCGCAACTGCTAAAACAACAACATAAACAGTCGTCAACATTATCAGTACAAGTGTTAATAAGAACATGTTTTCTCGAATAACGTTTGGCGCTTAGAGAAACATTTATTTTGTTGTATGTTGTTGTGTTTCACCAACGCATTAACCAATTGGCAATTAGAGTGACCAGAGTAGCGTAAAACTACAATACACCGGACGAAAAGAGTTGTGCAGATAGTAATAAGCCTCGACAGCAGCTGCTCATGTTTGTTTATGTTGATTTTGATGTTTGATGAAAGCTGTTGATACTTGTTGCATTACAACAACATAAAAAACAGCAAAGCGAGCAGTTAAACCGATGCATGCTTTGCTACAATGTATATATTATCATGCAACAACAACAGGTTGAATTATAGGCAGCTTAAGCAATTAACCATTTTTCAAGTCAAGTATAATGTTATTATAATTTAAGAATACCCTCTATATTACATAAATTTGCTTCATTTTTTATACACTTACAACTTGTTTCAAAAGTATCGCGTGTTTTTGTTTACATTGCGGTTCTCTTTAACAGGTAAAGGCACAGGTAAAAACAAGGAGGCTGAAAAGTTCCTACCGTTTTAAAGGAGTCACAACCTTCGCGGTCGGTACACTGATTATAGCGATCTTGAATGTTTATACTTTGGCAACATGTTGCTACAGAGTATAATACTTTTGTTCACCTAACTGTTGTTTGTATCACCTAAAACTAACCGAAATAGCTATGAAGTTATATACAAATGATCAGGATGACGAGACGAGTTGAATTCCGAGTGACTGTCTGTCTGTACGTCTGTCCATCCGTCCGTCTATGCAAGCGATAAATTAAGTAAAAATTTAGATATCTTGATGAAGGGAGGAATGATTTGGCAAATGGGCGGAATAGGATCATTTCCACGCCCACAAGACGCCATTAATTGAAAACATAAAAATCATGGTAGCAAGAGGCATGACTGGACTAAAACTTTTTAAAAACTGGCCGTGGCTCAGCTTTCTAATAAGTTTAATGTACATATCTCTTAAACCATTCAAGTTTTAATAACCAAATACACTCAGAGATAATCCTTTTGGCATCCCTACCCACGCTGTGAAAATGTGAGAATTCGGATGATAACCCCGCCCACTCCAAATATAACGGCGCTGTTAAGAACAATTAAAAGTGCGATAAATCTAAAACTAACTGCGCCAGAGTCATACAATTTTACACCCAAGATGGTATAAAAACACCCTATAGAAGCCGGTGGACGATGAGCGTAGCACCGCGCAGTTAGGTAAAATCTCATGTCTCGGGACCTACCCTTTCTACCATATTCGGTAGGTAATATTAGCCTGACATTCCTACATTACAGTGCTAAATCGGACAAACGCCACCCCTACTTCTCATATGAACCAACTTTAAATTTCATATAAACCAACTTCAAATTTTGATCCTTCTATTTTGCAGTATAGAAATCAAGAACCAATACATGTATCCAGATTTGCACGAATAGTGCCTTTGAGGGGTACCAACTTATGACCAAAAATATCTCGGTCGGACCAAAACGAAAAAAAAAATTCAAATATACACAAAGTATTTAAAAACTTTATCTGTATTGCAAAACAATTTAATATAAATTAAAATCAATACTCACTTGTAACGCCCTGCTGCGTCCAAAGTCAATTTCCGTAACACCAGAGTGCCATTGGCAAGTATTAAATACCTGTAAAATTACAAAAGGAAATTATTTCATTTATTAATTCCACTTGTTTAAGCATGAATTTGTATCGCTGTAAATACTTGTATGTCTGTCTGCATGCATGTATGTATTTACGTGTACAAATTAAAGATAATGAATAAATGAAATCTGAAACTGCCACAATTATAAAGCGGAAATCACTAAGACGACGCACTCAAGCGCACAAAGAGAATCATCGCATTAATTAAAATAGGCAACTAATAGACGTATATATACAACAGTAATGAAATTTTAAGCTTGTGAACTGGATTGCTATTGCAATATTTTTTCTAATTCAGACGAGTCTAAATTGAAAAATATTTGGTAATCAATATTGAGTAATTTTATTAAATAAATAATCAAAAGTAATTTAGAATTTAAAAATGCCACAAGTTTAGAATTGAGAACTTAAAAATAGCACAAAAATTTGAAGATGTTAAATACGTAACAAAATAAATAAATATATATATAATTTAACAAAAATGTTCTCTTTTATAGAGTTGAAATAATTTTGTTTTTAAGCAAAAATAACCAAATAGTTATTAAAAAAATATGCCAGAAATGGCAATAGGCGCATCTCCATATGTCTTGAGAACTTTTTATACCCTGAACAGGGTATATTAAATTTGCCACGAAGTTTGTAATACCTAGAAGGGAGTCCTAGAACATATGGATAGAAACGAGCTGAGTCGATTTAGTCATGTCCGTCTGTCTAAATATATGCAAACTCGTCTCTTAGTTTTTGAGATAACGATCTGGAATTTTGCGCACGTCTTTTTCTTTCCAAAAAGGTGGTCATTTGTTGGAAACACCAATATCAAACCGCTGTAGCATATAGCTGCCATACAATATCAATAAAGTCAGAGAGATTTTGAATGGAATTGAAATAAAAATATTAAATTTCAAAATACTCAGAGAAAATTGGCAAAAATTGCTGTTACAATTGCACTACATAGAAAAGTTTGGAATAACTTTAACTAAGAAGCGCAAACAATAAAAAATGTTTATAGGTTTCCACTTAAGATGCGACCCTGGAGCTATTAATTTAATATTGAGTTTTTTTTTATTTATGTTTTTTTGCTTCTACTCGCCTGTTGTCTTTGAATTGCTTTGATAACGGTACTTTTCCATAGAACCAGCTAATATTTGCCGGTGGCACACTTACGACCGGGCAGTCGAGTACGAGCGGTTGACCCGCCCCAGCGGTTATGTTTGTGGAAGTTACCGTTACGCGTTTAAGTACTGAAAAAAAATGAGAAAATAGTTAAATATTAACGATTATTACAATGTAAAAGTTTTCTATTATTTACCCGGATATTCCACAGTGATGAGCACCGAAAGTATGGCCGTTGTGTTGACATTGATTTTACAGCGGTAAGCGCCAGCGGCTCGCTCAGTGGGCGGTAGGCGTAACGTTCCATTGCGATAGATTTTGAACTCGTTCCGTCCACTGTGGGTCTCCACAATTTGGTCATTGCGATACCAGGTGTAAAAGTAATTTGTATCGTCTAAGCGCAGAGAAGAAAGAGAGAGAAAAAGAAAGTAGAAAGAGAACAAATATATACATATATATCTGTGTGTATTCGCTACAGGTGTAAATATTCATTCATAATTTGCTCACTGCTAAGATAGTAGTAGTTCTTCTCGATGCTGGCGTAGCACGGCAGATAATGATGTGAGTAATGCTTGGTGATTAATAATCGTGTTGTTTCTGGTTTGTCGAGTTGCATAAATGGTCCAGAGATGATTTTATTACCGTTGGCGTTAACTGTAAGACAAAGAAGCATAAGCATAAATATATTAACTAAATATTAAACAATTGTGATTGGAAAAGCCAAACAATTTAAAATAAGTTGGGGGCTTCTCGAATACATAATTAATCAATTAATTAAAATCTAAGTATTATAATAATATGTTTAGATAACATTGGCCTTTTAACTCCGTGCCACAAGTCAACTGCCATTGATTAATAAAGAATGCTTAATTATTAAAGAGTAAGGAAGGAATAAGTGCGAGTACAACCGAATATTTTATACTTTCACAATTTAGAAAAAATCTATTTCACTCACTTTCAACACCAAACAACAGTACTCGGATGTCTACGTTAACATGTTGACTTAAAGGGCCACACATTAAGTTTGGAACGAACGTTTTCGAAAACATATTTTTTTTTGTGCATATTTTGATAGTTTATCTCTTTAAAATTAAAAAAAAAAATTTAATTAACATTTTAAATAGTTTTTGACTTTCAGCTTTCTAAAACGTATCCACTCAGTTCAGTCAGCTTAATCAGTTCATTTTTATACGCGTTTTTCTCAAAGCCACTTTTTCAAATTTTAAATCAACCGGTTTTCCACAAAATTCTAATATTTTTTTTCCAAAATTTACCATTTTATTAGACATGCTTTGTTTTTAACAATTCTTGTGCAGGAAAATTTTTTTTTAATATGTTTTCAGAAGAGTAGGATACTAGGTGTGCCCTTAAAATTTGTTTAACATGTAGTTTGATTAGGCTGAATTTTTTTTTTCAACTTTTAAATCGATTCAAATGCCAAATTACAATATTACCAATATAAATATCTCAATTTTTACTGTAGATTGAATGGACAGACGCACGAAAAGACAACCACCCCGAATAGAACTCGTACCACGATCCTGATAATTTTGTTATAAAAATTCTACAACAACCGTTAGGTGAACAAAACTATTATACGCTGCGCAACGTGTTGCAAGAGTATAAAAAATGTTTTGTAAAGATAAATGTAGGTGTTATACCTAAATAACAATTATCATTAATTAGTATTATAATTATACGCATAATTTAAAAAGAGATAGGTCGGGGTTTTCATTACACTTAATTTATGCTGGTCAAAACGTAGTAATCAGCATTAGCGTATTACTATAATTACTATAATTTTATGTAAAAGTTATCGATGTAGAAATGTTTTTACAAAATATTATTGCTCAATGCATTATAGTTTAGCTTACGTCAGTCAAGAGTGATGTTTAATGCAAAATATCGTAAAAACTCATATTACATACTTGGGAGAAGAAAAAGTATTATAGAAATTTAAATAGAAAATCAAGAGCTGAATAAATTTATTATTAATTTCTTTCCATAATTTGTCGATAGTATCTTTTTGGTAGGATTGGTTCTTTGCTTTAAACTGGGTCTCACTTTCGCTGCTTGTTTTCCAGCAACAATTTTCTTATTTTCTGAGAGCAGCAAGTTGCACTATGGCAGAACCGGATAGGTTAGACTCGAAGGCAATTTAAAGTTAAAATCATTATATTTTCCCATTGTTTTTATTAATTATGAGACATACGGGAAGTACATTGTTATTAGTTCACTTACAACTCAACTTTGATTTGGATTACCAATTTCTCTATCAACCTTATCTTATAGTCATTCAAAACAATTTTTTTATTTTTAAATATTTTGGCCATAACATCAACTTTTGGACATCCATTAAATGCATCGTCTTTGGTGCTAATATGGCCTACAGGCAATTTAGAAAATCAATCACGAGCGGTTACTACGCCTCCCACCGGACCGGGGCCGTGTAAAACTCATTAAACCATTTTTTTTTAAATCAGCATACCTTTTTATGCTGTTTTCCAAAAGACTTGAACTTGCGTCACTCAAAATGCTATATCTCGTTAATCAAATGTTCGACTGCTATAAAATATTTAGACGTGTCTACTAGTACTAAATAAATGTCTTCTTTCTAGTGGTTCTCTCTCATAGAATCAATTGATGTTCGTTCCTCTCGCCTTCTTCTTGTTTCTTAGCAAGACAGTTCTGTTTCAAATCCGCTACTAAGCGTCACCAGTTTTACACGTTCACATCTTTGAGGTCATCAAATACTGGTCATCAATACTACATATCGATTTTTCGGTTTGCCCTTATTTCACTTCCCCTTGGGCTGTGTTCTCAAGGCTTTTCTCGGTGCTCTTTGATTTGGCATTCTTTCCACGTACCCAAGCCTGCGTGTTCGCAAGACTTTTATGAATTTTATGAGGTTTTGCCAATTAATGAGGTGTTCAAGCTCAAAGCTGTATCTAATCAGGTTGGAAGATGACATATACTTGTAGCATTAGATACAACTCCGAGCGAACATCTCATTAACATTTAGACTTTCATATTTCGCAATCTTTACCAATACAAGTACTATTTTTGTAAAAGCGCTGTATAAGTCCAAAGATGATATGAGTTTTTATATATTTTATTAACATACTTACATATGTATATATATATTTGTAAGCATTTGACAATTTCATCGATATGTACTTATAAATACATACATATGCATGATCTACAAGTATATTCATACAATTATGCACGTGAAGATAGGCCCGTGGCAAAGTGTAGTAGAAAATAACTGATTCGTGGCAATTTTATTACTTTTTCACAATCATGCGGATTTGCATACATAAATATTCATGTACATACGACATCCATACATACGAGGTGTGTTTAAAGGAAAAGGTAAATTTTGAATTTTTTTGAGAAGCATTTATTTATTCATCAATATCTATTTGAGCCCCTTCAAAGGAATCCCCCTTGGATATAATACACTTGTGCCAACGCTTTTTCCAATCCTCGAAGCACTTCTAAAATGGGCTTTTCGGTATGCCCATCAGCTCTTTCTTCGATTCTGACTTGATCTCATCAATTGTGGCAAATCGCTTTCCTTTAATTGGTGTCTTCAGTTTTGGGAATAGGTGGTTGAGGCATGATTACGTTTTTGTTTTTGGCCAACAAATCACAAAACATTAGAGAAAATTGAAAGGCATGAGCCGATTGATATGACAAAAACCTCTGCAACTTCCCTAATAGTGATTCGACGATTTTCATGAACAATTTTTAACTTCCCGCTAAGAAAATTGAAAATTTTTTAAAAATCGGGAAGATATTGGTTTCACCCCATTTTGCAAAAATCGAGTTCTCAACAGATCTCGACGTTTTGAGGGTCGAGGAAGCTTCCCCGAACATTTCTACGATGATGTCCGTATGTCTGTATGTATGTGTGGATGTATGTGTGTGTGTGTGGATGTATGTGACCCTCTTATAACTTTTAAACGGCTCAACCGATTTGAATAAACTAAACGGCATTCCAAAGGGTTTCATTGCACTTGAATTTCGTGTGAGTTTGGACCCAATCGGACCAGTAGATTTTGAGAAATCTCAAAAATAAAAATTTTGAAAAATCGAATTTCTTCCAAACGACTTGACCGATCAACACCAAAAACTAATCAGTTCTAAACCTTGAAAAAACATATCGTTTGCCGCAAACCGGGTCGAAATCGGTTGATTTACTTGCGAGATATTGAAAACGAAAAATTTCGAAGAGCTCAAAAGCAGTGAAAAAAGCGAAATTTGAACGTTAGCGTATGAAATTAGCGGGAAGTTGCAGGGATGGCCCTTGAGGCGAACCGTTTTCCACATTTTTTTCACTGTTTCGATATTTTTTTCGCTTGTGGACGTGCTCATAATGCAAGCACATGATAAACATATGTGTCCGATTATAACAAAACCAAAATATCGATAATCGAATGTACACAGCCCGCAAAAAATCTAAATTCACCTTTTTCTTTGAACACACCTCGTATAATCATATGTAAGTATTTGCCAACCCACACATATCGACGGCGAGATCAAATTGCATATATCTATGTACATACTTAACACCTTAAGCAATGTTTATGCGAAATACCTTTTAGCGAAACAACAACAAACAAATCAGCTCATAAAAATTTATGAATACAAAAAAAGTCATAAAATGTGATTACTAATTTATTTATTTAATCTGTGCTCAAGGTTTCAATAAATTTCTGATAATTAAATTCTAATAAAATTGCAATACTTGAGTGCGAGAGTGCTTTCCGGGAATATAACCTAATGTTCGCACATACAAATGTACCCGACAAAAAATTATGAGATTGTAATATTTAAAGAGAGTACACCGAGATTGCTGTACAATAAGGTAGCATACAATTAGGTATTAAGTAGTCCCAAACGAATATCTTTAGAGTTTACTAAGTCGATATAGACTTGTAGAATCTTGGTTGACAAAACTCTTCATTGCTGTCACATACACGATTAGTATATTTTTGTAGACTTTCAGGACAAAACGGTACAATTACTCTTTATACTTAAAGAAATGGAAACAGGTTCGGTCCGCATAAAAAGTTTCGATTAGTCACATGTTCTTTTGCGTCTAATCGCGGACTCATCCCGGACTTTTTGCATTTTTTGTGGGTATATATGTACATACATACAAGTATGTCCAAGTATGTATGTACATATGTAAGTATGTATATGTGTCATATAACTAATGCTACATATGTTTATTTATGCTAAATACGACTTACAATTAAACAGTTATTTATATGCTTGTACTTTTGCGGTGCTTTTGTTGTTGTTCAGTGCAATCAGATTTTCCATCTAGCAATTTTAGTTTTGATTGAATTATGTACCGTAGATGGTAGAGAAGAGATAAGAAGTTGCATAACAAGTTATTAATCGATTGTATGAAAAATATGCGTTGATACAACAACAATAACCATAAACTCAACGTAGGTGTGTAATTACAGCATGCAAGTTTCGTAACCAGGCAAGAAACGCTGCAGTAACAACGCAAATGAAAGGCATGAGTCAGCATTTGTCAAAGTATGCCCTCGCAATTTGCAAGAATCAGAGGCGTGTGAAATAGGTTCCAGGTGTCAACAAGACTTTATTATACAATATGTTACATATGATCTAGG